TTTGCAACATAGTATATAGTTGCTTAGAGTTGCAACTGAGAGGCTGGCAAGTTAGGCGGGGAACGTTGGAGTCTGCAGCAAGCAAGCCTCCCTGTTCGCATCAGCTGCCTGGCTGCCGGCCGCCATCTTGGCTGACAGTTAATTTGCATATACTCACTGATTAGCCAATGAAAAGGGTAGCAGTCGTATGCCAATTACCATGTTTCTCGTTTATTAGTGTAGATAATGCAAAGTGTCCCCTCAGGAATTTGACCGACCAGGAGTCTGACCGCTCGCTATGATGTGTGCTGACCACCAGGGGGCGGCATGAAACAAAGGAAGGTTCCTGCCAACAGCCAGCACCTGGGAAAGGGAGGCCCCAGCCCGAAGCCAGCAGCTGCTAGGGACCCTACCTGTGCACAAATTTCATGCACTGGGCTTCTAGTGTGCTGATAATAAATAACTCCCCTTTACCTGAGTGCTTCCTATGAGCCCATTACAGGCTAATCACTTCACATACATTTCTCTCATTTAACTTAACATTCATTACAACAGATCTGAGAGAGAGCCACTATAATCCCCATTTACTAAGATTCACTTAGGTCCAGTCATTTGCCTAAGGTCAAGCTCTGACAAGGGGCAGAAGTATGACACTTCTAGCCCAGGTCTTCGCCTGGATGCTCCTTTGCCCCCCGCCCCCCATGATGACCACTAACTGTTCACCTACAATGTGACTAGCTTTCTGCATTTGTTGTTTGTTGATCCTCACAAAGGTCTGTGAGTGGTTACTAATTTACCATTTGACAGGTGAAGAAACTGAATCTCAATGAGTTCATGTGATTTGCACACGGTCACATGCCTGTGGGTAGCTGAGCTGAGATTCAAAACTCACACTGCTTCATTCCAAAGTCCATATCCTTTCTTCTAGGCTGTGACACATTTTATCAAGATTCCATTGGGGGAAAAGAACTCCAGTTTATCCCATCCCAAGTACCTCCCTCCTTTCCAGTCCACATCCACTTCCCCGGCTCAGGCCCTCATCACCTTATAGATAAACTATTCTAAGAATTTACTAAATAGCCTTCACACCTTTACTTTCTCCTACCAGATTTACCTTCTCTAGACATTAGTCCTATCATGGGCCCCACCCCTCTGCTCCATGGTTCCCCACTGACTAACAAAGGGAACTGAATAAAAAACATTCAATTTTATTAACCAAATCTACCTCTCACCAACCTTCCTACCTGGCCTCCCATTATTGGTTATCCTTTGCTTTTGACTCTTTCCCTACTGATCATTGCACAAAGGCTAATCTTGCCAAAGTACAAATTCAGCAGATCCAAAGCCCCATCCAGTGGGATATTGAAAAAGGGAAGGGAACCTAGTTACAGCTGTGCAGATAGGACATTCAATGTGGACACACAGCAGAAGTAAAGGAATGAAGGTGGAAGAATGAGGGTTTTAGTCAGTCTTCCCATTAGTCAGTTGTGCTGCAGGAAGTAATCTTGTAGTGGAAAATCACAGTGGAGAGTTCTGCCAGTTTGTGTTCAAATTACAGAGTGGGAGAGGGAAAAAAAATATGTTTAGCCTTATATCAGCATGCATCAATATCAAAAGCTATTCTTTGGTTCATGGTCATTGTCTAATGAGTTTGACTAATTCTTCCAGAGAATCTCTCCTCTAATTAGTATCTTATAAATAAAGTTGGCCGGCTGAAGATAAGAGAGCCAACCCTGTTTTCCTAGTCCTCCCAATTAGAGAAGGAATCCAGTGTGGGCATAATGGAAAGTCTTTAGCACCACAACAGACATGGGTTTGAATCCTGGCTGTGTGTGGCCTTGGGTACATAAGTCACTCCATCTCTCCCAGCCTCAAGGTCCTCATCTGTCAATAGCAGATAATTGAGCCTATCTCTCAATGTTGTCACAAGGCCATGAGAAGTCCCAGGGCAGGATTGTGGAAAGATCAGTGAGCAAGCATGCCCACCCCTAATCACTCCAAAGGCACACGGTTTTGTTGGGGAAATTGCTAGAGACCAGGCTCTGCCAACCTGAAAATCATCAGGGCAGGAGTTACAATCAGTCTGGAAAGGCAGTAAAAAGATGCAATTTGTTTCATCTGGCTTCATTTTATGTCTAAACAGGAAAGGAACTTACTAAACTACACTCATGACAAGGAAGCCAAATTACTTGTGTGCAGCAGAATGTGGAGTTGCTAGGTAAGGGTGAGTTAATGGGGCTAGGCCTATGAAGCACAGCCATATCAGCTAAGTGCCAGCTTTAGACTGCTGAGAACACATGGGCCAGGTCCGGGTTTAACCCTGCTGTTAACTACCTCTGTGACCTTGCACAGGTCATGGCAAGCTCTCTGCCTCCTGTGTGGCATCTATCAAGTGGACACAAAAAAAGAGACAATGGCTATGACAGTAAAAATGTGAAAACACTTCAAAAATTATATTCTATTTAAATTATTTTGTTATAAAATCACTTTAAAATGTGAAGCAGATTATTGATGCTGCTATGTTGGTCCTTCATACAATAACCAAAGTCATCAAAAGGCCCTTCATAAATATTTCTGTCCTCAGGAACTCACATTCTAGTGGGAGAGACTGGCATGTGCATAAATCACTCTTATACAAGGTAAATAGTGGTAAGTACTGCAGGAAAGGAACAAGCCAAAGGCCCTGGGGACACGGGAGTCGGGAGATTAATTTCTAATAGGGCGATCTGGAAAGGTTTCATGAAGGAGATAGAATTTGGGTTGAGCCGTGAAAGCTTGGGAGCGCTATGATTTATACTGTCTTATCTCGTGGCTCATGGAGCACAAGGAGCTTTCTCCTCTCTGTTAACTTTGAGCTCCTAAAGGAGGGGGACATTGACTTTCACCTCTCATCACCAGCTCCTCAGCATAGGGCCTGGCCTCCAGGCAGTGATCCATACATGTTGAGTCCAATTAATAATGATAGCCCTAGCCAGTTTGGCTCAGTAGATAGAGCATTGGCCTGTGGGCTGAAGGGTCCCGGGTTAGATTCCAGTCAAGGGCACATACCTCAGTTGCAGGCTTGATCCCTGGCCCTGGTGGGGAAGGGTGGGGTGGCAATCAATCCATGTATGTCTCTATCTATCTCTCTCCCTCTCTTCTTCTCTCTCTAAAAATCAGTGGAATGTCCGGGTGAAGACTAAAAAACTGGGGTGGCAATCAATCCATGTATGTCTCTATCTATCTATCTCCCTCCCTTCTTCTCTCTCTAAAAATCAGTGGAAGAATGTCCGGGTGAAGATTAAAAAACAAAAAACACAATAAATAATGATAGAAGGAGGAGGAGTCATACTCATAATATCAGTAGCATTTATTCTTTTAGAGTTCATGTTAGGTTTCAGGTTATTTAAAACATCAAGGTGGGGGGGAGGCCCAGCAGGTCCAGGGAGCACTGCGCTGCAGGTGCATCTGAGGCAGGGAACCAAGAGCCCGCACCTCCTCCCAGGCTGAGCGAGTCACCTGGTCCACGGGGTCCTGGCTGAGGCCAGAGAGGTTATGGACAGCCAGCACCCGAGCGGCTGCGTCTCCATGACCTGCATCTGGTGAGGAAGTCAAGCCCTGGGTGGAGATACCTCGCAAGGTCACCCAAGGTCACGCCCGCCTGGGCTTGGCCACTCTGTCCTTCCTGTCCCAGAGCAGATGAGCTGGCGCCTGGCCTTAACCTTTCTCGGGACCTGGCAGGACAGAGGCTGGGAAGTTTCTTTCACCTCCCGGCTAGGCAAGTCGACTGCGGGCGGCCTCAGTTCGAGAGGAAGTCATAGCGCTGTGGGTCCGTGTGCCTGTGACGTCAGGGTTTTGTGGGAGATGGACTGTGATGTCACAGGAGGCTTCCGACCTTAGCGCCAAAGGAAGTTCAGTCTCCTGTCGCAAGGAACCGCAGCGGATTTGAATGGAAAGTTGTTCAATATTAGCATTTCACAATTTTAATCTTTCAAAAAAGATCAGACCCATCTCAGTAGGAGAAGCTAGCCTCTTCCATTACTGACTCCAGCAGGAAGCTGGGAGAGGCGTCCTCAGTCCTTCTTCACTGGCCTTGACTTGCAAGAGCCACTGTTATGTACCTTCGCCACATTGGAAACCGCCCAAGAAAGCGCAACCTGTGGAAACCATCAAGGAAACCTCGAGAACTTCCATGAGCCACCAGGAGGCTACGAAAAAAAAAAAAAAAAGCAAAGGTAGCTACATGAAAGCCAGTGTCTTTCCTTCCACCTCTCGTGGTAAAGCATCATCTCGAAAGCCTTTTGGGGTCCTTTCTCCAAATGTTCTGAGCGGCACGAGAGGGAAGAGCCCTGTAGAGAGCAGCGTGGATGCTCAAACCAAGAAGAAGGCACCATCGGCAGCCACCCACCAGGGCGAGGAGGGGGAAGGGCCGCTGGAATGCCGCGCGCTGGTGAAACCCGGAAACACCAAGGAGAACATCGCATTCTTTGCAGCCCACCGGGGCAGGAATAGGATACGGTCTATGAAAATAAAGGGTCCTGGGATATGGATGGGAGAGCTACGAAAAGAGGGAGACGATCGGGGGACCTTAAAGAAGCCAGGATACAGTTAGAAAGGATGAGGGAAGCCAGGGCCGGTGCTACGAGCCTGAGCCTTTTGCGTGTAGCATTGAGCACTGCTCTGTGCACTATGCGAGTGACAGTGGGGCTGGCATCTGCGCTCGGAGGCCTCTGTCTCTCACCCAGATGGTTGCCTTCCTGGAGCGAAGAGCTGGTGCTGCTCTGCGGGCCAGTTGTGCTAACTCCCCTGCGGTGGGGAGCCTTTCTGGGCCATCCAGAGCTGTGCCTCCAGCCTCTGAGTCCTTTTCTGGCCCCAGGGCTTGTGAAGAGCCCACGGAAAGGGGAAATCCTGAGGTTGGTGAATCCCAGAGAGAGCCAGTCCGCGTCCTGGACATGGTAGCCCGGCTGGAGTCCCAGCGCCTGAAGTGGCAGAGCCAGTGTGAGCCTGGGAGCCTCCCTCAAAAGAGCAGCTTCCCTGGGAAGCGGGTGCTGCTTGCACATGGCACTCAGGCTGATGAAGGTGCCTTGGAAGCACCTGACACTCGGGTGAATCCTCCTGCGGGGTCTGTACCTGTGGGCTGTGGCCCGTCAAGAGCTGACCACTGTTCTCAGAAGGAGAAGCAGGCCTGGGATGGGGCTCCTCGGGGCTGTTCCTCAATGCCAGCAGGCGTGAGTTCCCCCATGGGTAACGCAGAAATAGAGCCAGATCAGCAAACTGCTGTAAAAAACAGCAATAGGCACGATGCAGAAATGACAGCGGGTCTTGAGTCACCTTTTCCTCCAACTCAAGCCATCGAGTTGCCCACAGGTGCAGTTGAACGAATGAGGAGAGAGCTTGGGCCACAAGATTCTGAGCAGAAAAGAAAGGAATCTGTGTGCATTGGCCTCACTATGTCCAAGGCGCAGAAGGGCCAGCCTTCTCGGGTAAAGCCCTGTGAAGACCCACTTCCTGGGAGGCTGTTTTTTCTATTTGCCACCTGGTCAGCACCAGTCTGATGGTTTCTGGTTGAATGAAAGCACAGCACAAGTGTCTGCAGAGGCGAGCCCGCCTGAAGGTGCTGCTGAGGGGGGCGGTGCCCCTGGGGAAAAAAGTGTTGCAGCCAATTCACATGTCCCAATGCCAGCCTCTCCCGTGGGAAGTACAGTACCGGTGCGTCAGGCCTCCAGTTGGAAGAAGCAGGGGTCTCATGACTTTCTGGAGACCAGGTTTAAAACCCAGCAGCTTCTGGAGCCTAAACCATACATGGCTTTCCTGCCCCACCACGTTCTGGTGAAAATCTTCAGGTTTCTTCCCACCAAGAGTTTAGTGGCTCTTAAATGTGCCTGCTGCTATTTCAAGTTCCTCATTGAGTACTACAACATCAGGCCAGAAGATTCTCGCTGGGTTCGAGATCCATGCTATAGAGAGGACCCTTGTAAGCAGTGCAAGAAAAAATATGTGAAGGGGGATGTGTCCCTGTGCCGGTGGCATCCCAAGCCCTATTGCCAGGCATTGCCCTACCAGCCAGGATACTGGAGGTGCTGCCGCCGCTCTGAGAAGGACTTCCCTGGCTATAAGCTTGGGCTTCATGACAATCACTGGGTCCCTGTTTGCCAGGGCTTTCATCAAGCGATCCATAAGGAAGCAGAAGGGACTGAAACTGAAGAGGAATACTAAAGTCTGTCCGAGAGGCAACCAATTGATTGATTTTTAAAACTGCAAATTACCACCTAGATATCCCGGTCAAGTAAATGTTGCCTCTCAGAGCCCTCACCCTAGGAGAATCTGTGCCGGTTTCTGCAGGACTGCCGTTGCTTGGGTATCTTTTCGTTTACAAGCTGTACAAGAAAACTGGCCTCATTGTTTTATACAAGTGCCTCCCATTTGATCCAGGGTGGCAGCCCGCAGTTTGATTCACTTGGCCATGACTAATTATGCCTGTTTTTGTTTTTGTTTTTCAAATCAAATCCATCCTCAAAGGATGGAGACTTGCCACCATCAAGGATGTTCAGAAAAGGTCACTGTGGACTGTGCAGGCAATCCCCATAAAGCAATTCCAGAGATGTTTTGAGCACTGGCACCATATTTGAAATAAGTGAGTAGTGTCCTATGGGCAGAACAGCAGCCATCTTGGATGAGAAGTGTGCTTATGGAGGAAAAGTCAAGCACCTTACCTTACGCCTTGTGTGCTTGATGCAGTGAGACTGCTGTTTGTGGTTGGAGATGGATGTCATGCCCTGTGGTGTTTACAGTGTGTGTAATGGCTGTGTCCTCATAGGGCTGTGAAAGTGCACATTAAACCTGAGTAGCGCCTTTGCCTTAGATGAGCGCCCTCGGCCCCTCTGTAAATAACACTATTAAAATCCAGTTGTGTAGAGTGGACAGCCGACTGAACAACATAATCACCACAATGCAGCTAACATAGTGTTGCAGGTACAATTGGGTGTGTGTTTTGTTGTCTCAAATTTGTAAATCCTGTGTAAAATATGAATGTTTTCAAAATAAATTATGAATGTTTCCTGTTTCCTGTGTAATATGTGAATGTTTCTGAGAAGAAGCTCTAAATAGTTAAGCTGTTAAAAAGATACCAGATAATAGTTTAACTAGACAACCTTAAAATTAGCATAGAGAAAAATTCTTCGTTATATTTTAGTGCTCTCCAACAAGAATGAGAGATTATCTAGTCAGATTATAATATTGTGTTTTATTTATTCTGTTGGGTTACAATGTTTTTGTTTTTTAATTTCAATAAAAACATGCATCTTAAAAACACACACACACATAATCTCATCTGACCATCCCAGCCACCCCTGAACAAGCTGTTATCATCACACCCCATGCCCCACCTCCTGTTTGATAGATTAGGAAACTGAGGCCCAGAGGGAGTGCTGTCTGCACCAGGCCCCACACTAGTAAGTAGTGTGACTAGATTCACTCTCAGGACACTTGACCTTGACATAACAGCCAGAACATGAGAACAACATTCCTGGAAAAAGTCTGAGAACAATGAATTTTATGACATTTCTGTTGGGAAAAGCTTTGAACCTAACATATATATATTTGTAAAGTTTTCCAGAGAACTAGTAGGCCAGATTTCTATGTTGAATCTTTGACAGAATTCCTTGTTCTCCAGGAAATCTCAGTCTTTGTTCTTATGGCCTCCAACTGATCGGGTGGGGCCCACCTCATTCCAGAGGTCAATCTGCTTTACCCAAAGTCAATTGATTGTAAATATTAATCCCATCCACAGATAGAGACCTTCACAGCAACATCTAGAATTTGTTCCACAACCGGGCACCATTGCCTAGCCAAGTTGACACATAAAATTAACTATCACAAGATGTAGATAAGCAGGGACCCTAAGAAAGTTTTTAATTTAAGCCACTGTACCCCTGTACCCATCCTATTGTTTTGTTGTTTTTAATTAGCACTTTTTTAATGCATGAGAATAAAAAATGTTTGAAATTCTATGCCTTTTTTAAGGAAAAATATACTTCTCTCATAAAATGAAGACTATTTTTAAAAAGTCATACATGGATAAAAAAGAGAATAGAAAATGCCAAGGTTTGATTTAAACATCAAAATAGTTGATGCGTGTTTAATTTTAGATTTTGCTTCATAGGGAAGAGTATTTGACTTCTGGTATGTGTGCGCTGACCTGTTTTAAATGGATTTCTACAAGGTCAGCACTGGGAGATCTCAGGTGTCATTTTGTGCAACCTCATGTGTTACAGATGGGAAAATTAGAGCGGATACCCCAATGGTACAGTTTGTCACCTCAAGCAAGTGGTAGAACCAGGACTCCTGCCCAGTCGCTGGTGGGGCTTCATTCATCAGCCTCATTATCCAGTTTTATTATCAGCAGAGAAAAGAAAAATAAGCACACACAAAGCCCACATTCTACACCATAGTGTTGCAGGAGCCATACTCAGGCCAGCTGTGAGCCAGATGTCTGCCCTCCCCCCAAGGGGCTGCAAGGGATTCCCTGGCTCTCGGTGATAAGATGAGGGAGAAGATGAGGATTTCTGGTTGCAGGGGAGTCCAGTCCCCCTTGGGGACTGGAGAAGGTGCCGAATACAGTCAGAGACCACTTGTCATGAGGAACATCAGGCAGGCCTTGAGGTGTGGGACAGAGTGAAGCTGTCAGGCTGGAGTTCTGAGTTTCAGTCCCTGCTCTGCCTTCTATTAGCTGTGAGCTTGCTTTTCTGGGGCTCAGTCTTCTCCATCAAATGAGGAAAATAAAATGGCTTCACTGTATGAAGGCTGATAAGTCAGAAGACCCAGGTTTGAATCCTGCCTTTGCCACTTACAAATGATTCATCTTTGGGCAATTCACTTCGCCTCTCAAACCTCAGCTCACAGGAGAGGTAGTAATTCCTGATTAGGATTTAAGGAAAGTAATTGATGTGAAGTGCCAACCACAAATGTCTGTCCCACGGAGTAGGTACCAAATTCAAATTCCAGAGACCTCTGCTTTCCCGAGATCTCCAATCACGTTGAGACCCATGCAACAATCCTCACATCATCACCTCCACACTAATCAGTCATTCAACAACTATTTATTGAGGGACTCTACTGGGCTTGTCCCTGTCTCCAAGAGCCTGCATGCTGAACCTGCAGCCGGGACCCACAGACCATCTGGAGGTGACATATTTTAGCATCACCTTGACTGCACTGATGACAGCACTTCCAGGTCCCACCATGCTGGAAGAGCTTGCCAACACTCTCTGGTGGGAAAACCAGGAGCTTGGCAAGGAGGGGTGGAGTAGAGCCCTGAGGGTGGGTCCTGACAGCTGGTGCTACTCAAGTATTGATGATGCCATCCGCCCACCCACGCTTTGGAAACTAGGTGTGGCTGCTTTTGTGTCTCTCTCCAAACAGTAACAAGGGCTCACTCTTTTTCATCTGTGGAGGAACGTATCAGGTGAGGTTTCTTAAGATCTTTGTTTCTTTCTGTCAGGCAAAATGTCAGGGGTCTCAAGAGGCCCCATTGATGTCTGGAATCTAGTGCCCAGCTGGTCTCTGTGGGCCCCGAACCACACCTGTGCACCATGTTTGCCCCTGGAAACCAGGGCAGGAGACAAAGAGATTCCTCGGGAGCAGGCTTCGGGCCTCAGGTGTGCAGGTTCTGCAACGGAGCTGATTGTAAGCTGTTGTCTGAAGCCCGGCTGGCCTGACACTGTTCACTGAGTCACACTCAAATCTGTTTGTGGGGTTGCTCCAGGAAGGCAGGGAGATTAAAGCAACACAAAATGTGTGAGCCAGGAGGGAGCTGAGAAATTGCCTAAACCAACCTCCTACTGTGGGAGCCTCTGGAAATGTCCATGCTCAGGCTCAGGTGCCTGCCCAGGCCCCGGCTGGCAGCAGCTCCAGTCATTCTCACAAGCCCCAGGGCTTCAGTTGCATCCCTCCCTCTTTAACACTACGCTCACCCCCCAGTCACTTCATCTCTGAGGGGCCTCCTCACCCACTGAAACAACAGGGGCCCTACACCTCCATGCTAACAACTCCACTGGTAGATAAACAACAAACAAGCCCTCTACAGTTTCCCTACCTGGGACTCAAACTCAGGTAACAAGCAACCACTGGGAGAAAGTACCCACCATCCTTGGGTGAGAGAGGCCTTATGGCCCCTGGTCTCTGGTTCCCAAGCCCTCTCTGCAAGACATAAAGTATAGGACACTCCATCTCATTTTCATTTCAGAAGACTGAAGTCACCAAAATTCCCATCCTGTGGACTTAAGATGATCTCCCTTTCCAGGACTAATTGGTTCAGAGGATGCAACCCTGGCCAGATAATTGGTCCCTCTTGCCTCCAGACAGAGACCATACCCATAGATTTATCACCCCTGGCCATCTTCTCACACCCCTTTATTTTATACAGTGGGGCCTTGACTTACGAGTTTAATTTGTTCCGAGACCGAGCTCGTTAAAGGAGCACGTTAAGGAGCTCGTTAACTCAAATTACTCTGTCAACTCAATGCAAAAAATCCGCGGAGAGACAGCTGGTATCTCAAAAAACTCGTTAGTCAAGGCCCCACTGTATATGAGAAACTGAGGCCAAGTGGGTTTAGGAGATTTGCCATGATCACACTCTCTGGGAGTACCACCCCAATTAGACACCTGGCCTTCCTCCTGCCCACCACTGTCTCTTCCTGCCCAGCACCTCCAGGCCCTGCCTTGGTAATTTTCGCTCAGCGCCCTAAGAGGATATCAACAAGTCTTATGGTTTGGGGCATAAATCCAAAATAGACTTTTTAGGGTGAAACAAAACATTGTCAAACCATTGAAGCATAAACTCCATTTGATCTCCTTTGAGCTCAGTTACTAGTTCCCAATATTCTTATTCTTCTTGAACCTGCAAATTGAACCAGACCTGGAACACAAGTAGGGTCAGAGGCATCTGGAAAATCTAGCTCTCTCTATCAGGGTCCAGGGTGGCAGGGATGGTGCCATTCACTAGAAAAAGGCAGTGGGGTAAGAGGACAGAGCATGCTTTTTGGAATTAAGCATAAATATAAAGCTTTTCTGAGCATCGTGGCACTGTGTGACCCTGGAAAATTCACCTAAGCTCTCTGAGTCTCAGTGTGCTCCTCTGTAAAATTGGAGTAATGATACTTATCTCTCAGGATTATTGCAAAGGTTCAGGAGGTGATGTAGGTGAAGCATACCCTCTATGCACTAAACAAGCATTTCTTTACTGAGTTTTCCTAACCTATC